GTGGAGAGTCAAATCCACTCTTTAATTTATATTTAAAGGATAAAAGTATGTTTGACTCTTATTTTTGTGGATAGATTCTTTATAATAAAGATTTTGGGTTATATAAACAGTCCTTTGAAGATGTTCTTATAATATTTTACGTACTTTTTCTTTGAATTTTAAAAAGGGTTATTAGTAATTGGAGGAAAATAAAAAAAATAAAAATAAAAAAAACTAGAGAACCAAAAGTAAATTTCATTTTTATCAATAAATGATATATTTATCAATCAACGGATGCTTTTATATCAATAAATTTCATTTTTTTTTAATACTTTTTATCAATAAATGCATCTGTTTCCTAATAGAAACAAAATTCACTTCCTTGGCTCCGTTTGGTTCACAATTTTGTGTTTTTGGGAAAAGTTTTTTGAAAAAAGTTAAAAAAAAAAGTTGAATTGGGTGGTATTACGATGTAGGATTTATAAATTGTAAAATACCCCCTATGTTTGTTTTTTTACAAAACACCCCTTATAATAAAACATTAAAAGTTAACAAAAACACCTCCAATCCACCCTCAAATACGGACAGCCGGCCACCACCGTCGGAGGGTGGCCGGAGTCGCCGTAACAAAAATATTAAAAATATTTAGGGGTATTTAATTGAATTAACAAATTTAGGGGGTTTAAAAAATGTTGAATAAAGTTGAATAATATTGTGAGTTTTTTGGTATTTTACTGTTTAACTTTTTTGGGAATACTAAAAGTAGTATTCCCAAAATCCAACCAAACGAAACCCTTGTTTCTCTTGTTTTTAAAAAAAAGTGTCATCTAATTAATAGAAACTCTTCTTAGAAAATGTCAGTTAAATAATGATAATCTTTGGGTCAGTGACATTAATCCCTCTAAGATAAGATAAAATGAAATTTTTCCTTGAAGTTTTAAAAATAACAGAAATTTTCCTACCGTTTAACTTCTAAGTGTTAAAATAAAAAATAACATAGAAATTTGGTAATATTTATTAACACATAAAAAGCATTTGAATTATATAATGTTTTATTATAAGAGAATATTATATTAATAGAAAGAAAAATCATTTTGAAGATTATTGGGAATGTTTAGAAAATATGTTTGGTTGATTTGAATAATTGGTGAATAATATATTTGATTGAGAGGATAAATGGGTGGGTATGTTATGTAAATTACTAAATTATCCTCTTTTTTAAATATTAATATTTTTTATTATTATTTTTTGAATCATTTCTTTTAACTTCCTATATTTGAAATTTTGCTAAAATACCCCAACCATATAAAACTTTAATTTTTAGCAAAATTACCCCTACCCACCCCAAGCCACTGCTGGCAGCCAACCACCACCGTAAGTTGCCGTTGGCATTCTACAAAATGGTGCACAACTAGCCGTATATGACCGGTCGTGCATTGGCAAAGTCGGAAATGGCCATGGATCACAAATCCATGGCCGGAAAACAGCTAGATCTATGATCATTTCGCAGCCAAAGATGTGATCGTGAAACGGCCATAGAAACGTCAAATCTGGCCGTTTCCAGCCATGGATCAGATCCATGGACGGAAAAGGCCTTACTGGCCAGATCCCGCTAGTCGTGTACCATCACAGTAACTGACGCCGGCGGTCAGCGGTGGTCTTAGGTGGCTGGGGATATTTTGTTAACTTTTAAATTTTTTTATGACTGAGGTGTTTTAGCTAATTTCTCAAATGTAACGGGGCTGAGTAATTGTTATTTAGTAGACATTTGAGGGCAATTATGTCCGAAATGGTTTTTAATTAAAGACAAAATGGGTAGAAAAATCAGATTACCTCGGTAATGTTTTACTAGCATCCCCTAGCAAGGTAATAAATTACCCCCCACATTACCAACAGTAAACACTATTTGCAATAAAAGATTATCGTAATATTTTATTACTTGCAAACTAAATATTAGAATCTTGCAAAATGAACGAAGATTACACCCATTATCTTATATACTCACGATCCAAACGGCCATGTAACAATGTAAATTTTAATTATTCACAAACAATTTTTATTCGATAGGGGTATATTTATAATTTTAGAAATTAATTTTTTTTGCTATTATATCATACTTTTAAGGGTCTATACTTTAACCCATATTTTTTTATAATTGTGTTTTTTGTTGGTGGAAGGGCATGACGCACGAACAATAAAAAAGTTAACTTAAAATATAATTAACTTAAATAAAGTGCCAATATAACTCCAATAAATTTGAAATCCTTATGTCATCGTTAATCATACGACATATATTATAAGATAACGTAGACAATATTACTAACTTTATATCCAATAATTTTTTGATGAAAAGTTGTATTAAATGAAAGGGAATCCTTAACATACTAGAAAAATTAAATATTATGCTTTTAACCAATATAATTGTTGATACAGAAATATGCATCAACCAATGAATTCCGATTGACCTTGGTGGGATCAGAATAGATCTGTGTGTGATTACGGATAATCAGCGATAGGCAAATATTGAATACAATAAAGTAAATGGCAATGAGAATTTTTAAAGTGGTTCGGCCAGGTAAACTCTTGAGCCTACGTCCATTGTTTTTTGCATTTGCTGTGAGAGCTTACAATGAGAATTCTGTGGGAATGGCGTAACCCCCTTTTTTATCATTTGAGAGGGTTTATATACAAGGTTTGTACAAAAGAAATAGTGAAAATAAAGGGATTACAATTAATTTGAACTACAATTCCAATATTCTCGCGATTGGGTGTTGTAATTACGCAGAGATTGCTGTTGATTTAGTCATTCTTGCAATATCTGAGATCTGAAGTTATCTGGGAATTGATTGAATGATCATTTAGATTGTTCGCAACTAGCTTGTGTTGGGTCGAACTATATGTTGACGAGCTTATGTTGGGTCAGACAACTAGTGGAGTCAGACTGATCTTAGGTCGAGTTGCATCCTCACGATAGTGTGAGCTTGGTGGAAAAATCACATACAACAATAATTTCGAAGAATAATCATACACATACAACATCATATGGCAAAAGATGATTGAGTAAAAGTTTAATTTTAATTTAAAATCAGTCAATCATATTTTGTCATATAATGTTGTTTGAGAAATGTTGTATGTATAGTATTACTCAATTTTAAAATGTTCATAGTCCTATTATCGTAATTACTAGGACCTAAGGATGATTACCCCTAATTTATTAGGATTATATTACCTTAATTTCAATAACTACTACATACTAGTATCTTTTATTTGTCATTATCAAACTTCTTTACTCCTATAGGAATGGAATATTCGTAGCGATAAAAGAGATTGTGAGAAAGTCAAAATACGAGAACTCTCACTTTCAAATGCTCTTACTATTTAGATACTTTCAAGTTACTCCATGTTTATCGATCGAGGAGATGCTTTAGAGGTGGATTCTTCCCAATCCTCTCATAGTAAGGCAAAAAACTATATAATATAATTAATATTATTAGAATAAAATAATTACCCTCTTTTTTATGGATAGATGTTAGTTACATATAAGTTGGTAAAAATTCTATCAATTAAAAACTAAGATAATCTTTATATGTAACATAACATAGGTGTTTCATAATATTCAATATTATAACTAGATTGTTAATCATAAATCATAATCAAGTAGTCCTATCATACATGAACCAATAAACAATTCACAGCCCTCAAACTTGGAAGGCTTTGGATAAGAAGGGGACCAAAGTTAGAAAACAAAAACAATCAACTTTTTCTTTTACTTTATTTCTTTTCTGGTATCCTGTCTAGCCTTTCCTCTGCCTCATTGATTTCTCTTCAGGAGATTTTCAGAACCTACCCCTAACTTTTTGCTAATAATCAAACTTATGTCACTTTAATGGGAAATAGTCAAAAACTACCCCTGAACATCATCCAATTCTGTTAACTTACAAGTTATTATTATTATTATTATTTTTATAAAAATTCAATTCAGTTAATTTACAAGTTGTATAAAATATTATAAATATCGGTAATGTTAGGTTCACAACCCAATTTTATAATATTCTCTCACAACTCCCGTAATTGGTCAGCTCGCAAATGACTCTCGTCTATCTAATTGTAAGCTATCACGTAAGGGTTGTGAAAAAAGATTGTGAGTCATGTTGTAAACCTAGCATTACTTCTATTAATATATATTTTGGTTAGAGTTTTGAATTAAATTCTTAAAAGTGTTAGGTTTGAATAACTGGAATAGCAAACACAATTTCAGCGAGGATAAAATAGTGGTTTTATGTAAATTTCAACTTGCAACTTAAGGTAATATGATGGCGTTAGGGTTTAAGGGTGGTTTTTTACTATTTCCCACAAAAGTGTCATAAATTTAATGATGAGTAATGCTACACTTATACAATTTTTTTACACCATTTTGTAAATATCATGATGTGACATATGCTACAATCATATAAATTTTATTATAATATTAAAAATTTAAAATAATTAAAAATTTATGTGGTTGTGACATATGACACATTATGATGTAATGAAAATTGTGTAAAACAGTGATATAAGTGTATCATTACTCTTTGATGATTAGCAAAACGAGAGAGGTAGTCTCGAAAATCTCCCGTTTATTTCCAAAAGTAAGATTTATATGCTTTATTAGCGATTTTGTTAGCTTTTTAATTTCAAATCCTTGGCTTTTCCATCCATGATGGAGATTGTTGGACAACAACATTTTTGAAACCATTTTATGAAATTTAAAATCTAAACTTCAATACGACTAGTTAGTTCACGTATGATCAGTTAATTTTTGGGATTTTAGAGACAAAATATTACAGATAAGAGAATCAATTCGTGCATGCATAAATTAACTATTGTTATGAAAATTATGATTCGATGAACGTATGAACTTTCATTTATAATATTAAAAATGGAAACTATAAATTTAGAAAGAAGTGTAAACTGCCCAACAGTCTTACTACTTATTGATCTTTAAGTGTTTCTGTTTTTCGTTACTGGTAAAAGCCAAAAGCAAAAGAAAAACTCTAGCCTCAATTATGCAAAACATGTAACATCTTTCATACAAAATCAACTTCTATTGCACAAACCTCAATCCCCTTAAGTTTTATAGTACATACTGTAACTCTACAACTCCAAAATTTTACACAAAATTGAAACTGTATATTATAACATCTGCGACAAGATTATACCTTCAATTGGAATCTTAATTCCATCTCCATGCTTTAGATTTCTACACAACAACCAGATTGAACAAACCCACCAAACTCATCACCCACATTCATCTTCTCCAATTTACCACTTCCCCCTAACCCCATTTCCACTCTATAAAACCCATGTGGAGCTCCTTGATACTCCGACCCGGTTACCACTACCATATTACCCAACATGATCCCACACGATCCCGCCCGGATCGCTGGGTCTAGTTCAGACCAATTTACCAGTTTTCCTTCTTTGCCCACACCAACGTTGGATCTCGGGCACCGACCCGGTTCCCAAACCCCGTCAACCCGCCTCCATTGATCCAACCCGAAATTGTATACGTCCGCACTTCCGTCAAAAGCACCTTGATTCTCAGTTCCATACCCGCTTACTACCCAAAACCCGTCCCCTATCACCACCCCTTCACACTCATCTCGCTCTTGACTCAACTGCGGCAACTCGGTCCACTCATCGAGTCTCAAGTCGTAGACCCACCCGGTTCGCAATGCGTTCTTGTTTTCGTCGTGGCCGCCCGCCACATAAACCCGGCCCGAATGGGATCCGACGGCGAAGAAGGACATTTTCATGGGCATATCCTTGCCTTTTCTCCATCTCTGCATGGCGAATTCATATACAAACACATCACAAACAGGGTCATAACTCACCGGATCCCACCCGCCCATGACCACAAGCTTCCCTTCGCAGCCTGCCAACTGACAAAACAAGGGCAAACCATTCGGGTACTCGGGCACCGGGTCAATCCGGCTCCATACTCGACCCACCGGGTCACACACGGTAAGACCGTAACTCAGCGACTCACCCGGTTTCGGCCCATCATCGGAAATTTTCCCACCGCTGAGAGCTTGAACCAAGCAAGCCAATTGATGGGTGTGCCCGGATTGCTTCCTGTGGTGATAGAACTCTCTGCAGAGAAGCAACTGGCGCCAGCGGCGGCAGACACCGGAGGCGACGCCGTGGGAGAGGTAGGGGAGGCGAGTGAGGCAGTCGAGGCCGAGTTCGTGGGGAAGAGAGGGGATTAACTCAGTGAACTCGGAAGCTTCCATTTTGTTGAAGTAAAGTGAAGTTAAGTGTGAAGATCTAGTTTATGTTTTTTGATTTTGTTTTTGTTTTTGTTTTTGTTTTTGTCTGAAAGGTTTTGAAGTTTAAGGTCGCTATTTATAGAAAGCAGTTAGATAACAGAAACCTTCGAAACCGGTAGAAGGATTCTGCCAGGTGTACTAGGTTTTTTACATGCAATAAATTAATTACAATTTTATTAAGCTCTGTACAATATTATTTACTATTCTTTTATAAAAACAAAAAATCTTTATTATTCGGATTAAGAGTTCATAACAGATCATTAATATCATTATCCATCAAATATCAATTTAATTATGTTGTCAGACTTTTTAGAGTATCAGTCACTATAAAATTATTGAAATCGTTGAACAATATTACTGAGTTCATGTTATTATCGATTTTACTCATGTGTGTAGTATTGTATATAAAACAAAAAGATTATTAATTATATTTATATTGTCATCAATTATTTTATAAGATATTTGATAGATGTTTTTAAATTGGGTTTATTGATTTATCATATTATTATAAAAGAAAAAAGTTAATTTTCTGTTAATATAGAATAATATTGTAAGAGGTGGTTATTAACTAAGATGGTTAAGTGTTAATTGTTATAACGAATCTATTTTTTATAATTTTTTGGTAACCAACATCGAAATCTGTATATATTAAAATTAGATCAAAATTACTGATATTAAAATTAAATTATAAAAATATGGAAGTTTGCCTTCTTAATTTGCGGCATAAATTTTGGTTTGGTACAACCGCGGAGAGATATTATTAGAAAATTTGATTGGTAGTTACAAGGACGGATAAGGATTGATTACGTGGCATAAGTTTCTGTTCCTTAAGTGGGTCCATGAACACGTGGCCCAGTTTGGATGATTGTGATTAATCGGGTGGATTCTGCACAACACGTGGTTGATAAAATGGATTGATCGAAGTGTACAGTGAACTGACACGTGGTGGATAAGTGGATAGAGTATTTCTGTTCTGAGTGAGACTTAATTTGTCTCCACGTTCACATGCAAGTGGTTTAAACTTTAAAGTATTTCCTTTTCCAATTCCAAGTCTGTGCCCTCTTTGATACACTTTTTTAATCATTATTATGTTATTTTATTTAGATTAAAAAATAGAATATATGTTTATTTATTTATTAGGTTAATTTATTTAGAAAATTAATCCAATTAAAATAGGATTTTTTGTCTCAAAATAAAATGTAGGTGAGGCTTGTTTTTTATTATCCTATTCTATTGAACTTAAAACATTTTTCCAATTTTATTCAATTAAAAACAATTACTTTTCACTCATTCCAATCTAAAAATTAATCCACCCAAGACTATCATTGCCTGCCCAGCAACCACCATCGGCTACCGTGATCGAAACAATGCAAGACTAGTCAAATTTGGCCGATCATGCATCAATCTTTCTGTTTCTGACTAGATCTACGACCAGATTTTGGATTGAAAAGCTTAGGTTTTATGAAAAAAATATTATCTAATTTGGGTGTAACCCGCATGAATATGTGTTTGCTTGGACGTAAAATGTGAATAACATTTATTAAAAATACATAAATAAATATTCATTGTAAAGAATACGAGTTAGGTCACCATTGATGTGAAATTCTTTGAATATATTAGTAACTCATGTAACACATAGATAAGCATATAATTTGATTAAAGTGGATTGATACTGATACAAAGTCATCAAATTTTGTCTTGGGATGATTGGATTGGCCATGCCTGTGATAAAGTGCTATCTAATTAACAATAAAAATAATATTAAGATAATTACAATTTGACAATAATTAACTTCATTTTAAAATAAATTAAATTTAAACCCAAATAGATATGAAAATGAAAGATGATAATGGGTCTTCTGGCCCACATCATTGATATGAAAGCAAGTTCATTGCATGTGATCTGGAATTCTTTTGATTTAATCACCCTACATTTTTGAATTCTTGTTTTACGGCTCCATAAGATTTAAGAAAATTCTCAAGTTTTTAACATGCAGATTAAAGGTGAATATCTAGTTCTTAAATTTTAGGGCTTTTGAATATATATTCACAAAAGCTCTAAATTAGGGCTATGCACTTTTTTTTTATATATAGATGTTTCGAGATTTTTAATATAAAAATTATAAATTAATGGCTTTTGCCTAATTTTGATTTTAGATTTGATTAAACTAACGATTAGTTGTCAATCTCTAAAAATTGTAGGATGTTATATAGTGTATATACTATTTAATTTTAGGAGTTGTTTATCACTTATTTTTAAATCAAAATGAATTGAATTTTGAATATTAAAATAAAAACTACTAAATTTGATAACGAGAGATATTAAATGCGGGCATTGCAAATCCATACCAAATTCAACCAACCCTATTAAATAAATGCAAGCTTTATATCAAACAACAAATCTCCACCACCCAAATGAATTAATTATTTTTGCTACCTTATTTCTATAAACACACATATTATATAAATAAGATTTGATATTATATATTACTTATTTTATTCTAAAATAAATATCTTGTCATCCTATTCCTAACTTTAATTTTAAAATTTCAAATTTTGAACTTTAATTTCTATTTTTATGTGATTTAAAAAGAAGGGGGAAGTTCTATTTGATTTGTGATTTAAAAATAATTTTCAAAAACTTAATACAACTCAAAATTTTAAGTTGTTTCTTAGTGTTTTTAATGTTTGAAAATGAAAACAATTTTTAATTGTTTTTGTAATTTTATACTTAATTTTAGGATTGTATTCGAAAATTGTTTTTTAAACAATTCCACTAATTTTTACCGGACACATTTTTAAAACATTTGTTGTTTTTCTTGTTTATCAAAAACAAAAAATTATGTTTAAATTTTATATCAAACGGGGGCCTAAAATACCCTTTTTTTTTTTTTTTTTATAAAAAAAAGATTGGTTTACTAGATAAAAACTTTCATCAATTTTTGTTCTATTTTTATCTTTCTACAACTTTCTTGTCTTTACTCTTATCAAACTCTAGTGCCAGTCGCCAGAGTGGCTCCACTTGAGCATTAAAGGTTTTTTTTTTATTTTTTTATTTTTTTAATCGTACTCCAAAATAGTGTTAGAAATAAAATATTAAAATTTTGTAAACTACCAAACAAATAAATTAATTATATTTTATGAAAAAATATAATATAATATTTTTTAAAATGAATAATAGATGTGTATAAGTTATTTTAACTTTATAAAAATAAGAAGTGAAATTAAAAAATTAGAAAAAAATTTACTCTAAAAGTAGAGTGGATTGGACTTTAACTTAGAGTGAAACAACTGGAACATTAAAGTGAGTTTCCACAGCTGTAAAGCGAAGAGTGCATTTCACAAGGTGAATTGATATACACATTCTCATATTTTTCACCTTGTCATTAAGGCGGCTTGGTTTTGTTTGGTTTTTTTGGCCCTTGATTGTTCTTTGAATACAAAGACATTTTGAACTCTTTTACATGTGACTTCAAATAATTCAAAGGCAAGAAAAACAATATCCTTGGAAAAAGTTTAAGAAACAATAAATTCAACTAGAACACGTTTTAAATAAGAACCAACCCATATAAATTAGAATAAATTTTGACTAAACAATCTACAGAAAAAAATATACAGTGCGGACTTTGTTGGAGTTGTCGACTACTTCAGTATTATGGGGTTACGTAGACGCATTCGGGGGTCCCGCTAACCAGTCAGCAGGCGGAGGTCATGGGGGCAGCACTCTCGACTCATAGGCGGTTTGAGCCTTTTCCATGTATAGCCGCTGTAGGATTTCTTTAAGTTATTAATTTCTTATTGGGTTGGGCTTCGGAATAGGAATCCTTTTAAAACTAGGTTTTGTCACTTAAACCTACTATATAAACATAGTTTTCTTTTGTTATGAGTGTGATAGCAAGTCATAGGGCAATTCATTCATTGTAAATGAGAGAGAGGTAAGGAAATACTGCAATAATATTGACTCGGCTGGACGTAGCTCATATTGGGTGAACCAGGGTAAATCGGGCGTGTTATTTTCTCTATGTTTATTATCTGTGATTTACTTTATTGTTGTTTTGTTCTCGTTGCTGTCTCTATTTCGTTTAATTGGTATCAGAACTTTTAGGTTTTGTTAGATTGTGATTTAGAGATGGCGGGATCAAAGGTTGAGATTGAGAAGTTCGACGGCAAACATTTCGAGCTTTGGAAACTACGGATGGAGGATCTGCTCATTGATAGGGATTTGTGGGGTGCAATTTTGAATGATAGGCTGATAATTGGGACAATCGCTGTTATTACGAGTGAAATGTCTAGAACTATAATGTCAAGTACACTTGGGTCTAAACCTACAATGAAATCTAGAGGAGAATTATCAACGATTGATCATGCTGCACTTGCTAAATGGGATGAGATGGATCGAAAAGCCAGAGGTTTGATTCGCATCTTCCTTGAGGACTCCGTTCTAACGAATGTGATGGGTCAGGATACGGCCAAAGGTTTATGGCAGAAGCTGGAAAATATGTATCTGAGTAAGTCTTTGGTGAATGTGATGTTCTGTCACAAGAAACTCTACAATCTCCGTATGCATGATAGGGATTCTTTTATTGCACATCTGGATGAGTTTAATACTCTGGTAAATTAACTGATGGTTGTGGATGTACAACTCACTGAATCTAAGAAAGTGGTAACATTGTTATGCTCACTGCCTGATACGTGGGACAACCTGATTGTTGCGATTGGTGGTGGAGGATTGACACAGATGTCATGGGAATCTGTATGTTCTACATTGTTGGCGGAGGATATGCAGCAAAGAGGTTCAGAGGGTTGGTCTAGGGATGCTTTAACTGCTAGGGGACGAAACCTTGATAGAAATTCTAATAAGTCTGGCGACAGGGGAAAGACGCAAGGTAGATGTAAGAGCAAGGATAAAGGTAAGATTAAATACTGGAGATGTCAGGAATTCGGGCACTTCAAGAAAGATTGCAAAAACAAACCGGTAAAGGGGAAGGAAGTTGAAACCTCGTACAAATGAGAATCAGATGGTGATATG